TATTTGATATATTTGTTAGACCCAAACCTAAAATTGATCCCGCGACATAATATACTGATGAACTGTACGCCATTAGTGTATTAATGTGGTTTGGTCGTAGTTTGATTGCCTTGAACCATGTGTCCAAGGCAGCTTCTGAGGCAAGGATGTTTGTGACATATATATGTGTGGAGCATAGAGAATATCAAAACTTCTACTTTCGCCACTAATTTGTTGTTTCGTGTCATAAGATCGATCATCGTATTGTTGCTCGGAGAAGAATAATCAGCCAAGATTGTATTACTGTTGATTGTAAGATTCTTCATAATATGATCGCCGTGCATATGATGAGCTTCACGCTTTGTCTATGTCGTGTAGACTCTGTCGCATTTGCTGAAAACTATCCATTGTCTTCCCCTTTCCCTTGTATGTATACACATGACCAATATCTCATCGAGCTTAATTATCAGAATCCTGGGTGGTACGTGTAAAATACTGCTTCTCGGTTCATGCACCACCCTTAAATTATGTAGATGTGACCATATCTGGCATCGTTGCCATCATCGGTCAAGGCACTATGTCTACGTCGTTGTCATGTCTTTGGACTGAGTGAGTTGTTAAATGCAATTGAGAAGGTGTCTTGTCGTCTGACATGATTCTTTTCAACGGTGCAACTGATGCTATTGTCTTCCCCTTTGTCTATTCCTTTGTTTTTGCACATTAGTCGAACTATTATGACGATTAGGTGTCTCTAGTTCATCTTGATTAGTGTGTTCTTCCTCTCAATCCTTTCAAATTTGATCCAATCCACATAATATGATGGTCGTGCATACGATGAGCTTCGCGCTGTAAGATTCATCATAATATGATGGTCGTGCATACGATGAGCTTCGCGTTGTGTCTATGTCGTGTAGGCTCTATCGCATCTGCTGAAAACCATCTACCGTCTTCCCCTTTCCCTTCTATGTATGAACATGACCAATATCTCGTTGAGCTTAATGATTTGAATTTTGGGTGGTATGTGTAAAATACTGCTCCTCAGTCTATCCACCACCTTCAAATTGTGTAGACATGACCATCTCAAGCGTTGTTGCCATCATCGGTCGAGGTATTGTGTCTCCTTCGCTATCATGTCTTTGGACGGAGTGGGTTGTTGAATGCGATTGAGAAGGTGTCTCGTCGTCCGACATGATTATTTTCAACGGTCTGACTGATGATATTGTCTTCCCCTTTGCCTATTCCTTTGCTTTTGCACATTGGTCGAACGATTATGACGGTTGAGTGTCTCTAGTTCATCTTGATTAGAGCGTTCTTCCTCTTAATCCTCTCAAATTTGATCAAATCCACAAATTTCTCAAACAATGTCTTTTCTTCTTACCGGTCTTGTTAGACCTAGAAGTGAATCATCTCTTTTCATTCTTGATGAAAATGATCAATTTTTCTGGAAGTGCTCATTTGAAATGTGTCAGGTTTTCGTTGTAGGACATTAGTGAATCTGATGTTAGACAAAACATTATGCATCTTCCACCTAATCTGAATGCTGAAGTACCTATTGCAAGTCCTTGACTGATGTTCAACCTATTAGTACAAACTTGAATATCGTTTGTATACGATCAACATAGCTAATGCCATTGTCACTCTTATGCCACATATTTGATGAAAATACATTTGATATCATTTTCAATATCTGCAGGGATATAGCGTGCTTCACAGTTTCTGAAGCTACTAACGACAATAGATAAATAGTGGAAGGTAGTGTCAGTGCGCATGTGTCAAATCAAGACATTATTTCAGTAGTGGAGAATTGCTTGGATGTGAGCATGATAATAAGTAAATGATCAAAGGTACTCTTAATCAACACTCAAACACCATTTAGAGACTTAAATCTGAAAGAAATGGTTTATGGGAACTGAATGCAGGTGGATTTACGTGAGGAATTTTATCCGTTACAGATTATCAGCTGGAAGTTTTCAACTTCCTTTTGGTTGGAAGCAGATACAGAAAATATATTTAGTTTGGATGTGCTTGATCTGAGGTAGAAGAGGAGTTGGACTTAGAGAGGGCAGCGATTAGATTAGTTTTCTTGTATTTTTCTGCAAACAGCACACGATACTGCTTCAAAAGATGATGTTTTTGGTGCAAAAAAGGCTCTTTTGCCTTTTCCCATGTAACAATTCCTCCATTTATCTTTCCTCCTATCAACTTTGCGGCCTGTTTAACTTTTCCACTGCCAAATACGGAAGTTCAGAGCAAAGTTCCAACTTTATAGTGGTCAACCCCCTTCAATCATGTGAACTTTCTTCAGAAAAGGCTGCAAAAACAGCCAAGTATCACGCCTGTTGTAAAAATTCTTCAAGTCTTTCCACCGAGTTCTTTAAGCAGAACGGTTGGAGCGATGCACAAGTCATGAAAGTTACCCAGAAGGCACCCAAGTTGCTGCGTGCTAAGGTAGAGACTACACTGAAGCCCAGGATGAGATCTTTGCAGGACATGGGATTTTCTGATACTGAAATAGTTCAGTTGGTTTCAAAATGTCCGACTATACTTTTTCATAATATCCAACCGAATTTGAACTTCTTGAAGTCACTACTTGGTTCTAATGAGAGGTTACTGAAAGCCTGCAGTAGGAACCGATTTCTTCTTACTTCTAGCCTAGCTCGGAAGATAGAGCCCAATATATCTCTCTTAAGGGAATGTGGCATCAGTGATGAATGCATCGCGGGTATGGTGGTGTTGAATCCGGGTTTTGTTGTTCGAAAAAACAAATTTATTAGGGAAGTTATCGATTATGTTGAGGAGTTGGGTGTGCCACGGGATTGTGGAATGTTCCGTCATGCACTTCATTCTGTCATGAACATGAGCAGATCTAAGTGTGATGCTACCTTTGCAACCTTTAAGAGCTTTGGTTGGTCCCAGCCAGACATCATTGCCATACTCAGGAAGAGCCCATGTGTTTGGAGACTCTCAAAGAAGAACATATCTGAGAAAATGACATTCCTGACGAAGGAAGCTGGTTGTGAGCTGCAGTATATCATTCGCAATCCTGGGATTCTTTCATATAGCTTGGAGAAGAGGGTGAGACCACGACATGAAGTTATAAATTTTCTTGAGCAGAATAAATTGCTGGATAAAGGACATAGCCTTTTATATGTCATGCCACTAACTGAGCAGAAGTTCATGAACCAATTTCTATTCCCGTACAAGGAGAAATTTACTGCTCTCTATGATGCCTATGTTGCTTCTGTGCAGGGAAAGCACCATGTTGTCGCTGAAAATTAGGATTGCGAGTGCTTCCTCGAGACAAAAGTGTAAACCTATTGCATACTGACTGCACTATTTAATCATCTTAAATTTGTGACAATTTATAATCTTCAGGAGTTTCTTCTGAGTAGAACATCACTGTTGATTTTGATATCGATGTGAATGAGTACAAGTAATTAGTCGAAAAATTAGTTATTTTGGCATCGGCTAGTTTGTTACATGAGCATCCGATAAGAGGGGTGGGCCCCACGAATTCAACCGGAGGCGGTTCGACCGGTCAGGCGCCCGAATGATTAAAATCCGGATCGAACGTGAATCACATTTCGAACCCCACCCAAACCCCCGCGGCGCAACCCTGCCCTAATCGCAGCGACCGCTCTCTTTCTTTGGCGACTGCGGCGTCTCCTCAGTGAACGACGGCTGCCTTCCTCTCCATCGGGAAACAGCGACAGTTGGCGGTGCCGTCTTCCCCTCCCGGTATCTCTCTTTCTCTTTCTCTTTCTCTTTCTCTTCCTCCTTCGCCATCGCACACTCCCTTCTCCCTCTCCCCCTTTCGTCGCAAGCTCGCCCCCTTATCCGACACCACCCTCCTCCTCCTTCCTCCCTCTTCCCTCTTCCCTCTTCCCCCAGTTTTTCTTTGTTTTTCTTCCCCGATACCATCCTCCCCGTCCCTTCTCCTTCCTCCTCCCTCTTCCCCCTGTTCATCACAGTCCACC